GCAGGCCACCTTTGCCTGGGGACTCCCCAGTGCTTGGCTGAGACATTTCTGGAACCGCACAGCACTCTGGAGCCTTCCTACCCCAGCCTCCTCCTTCCCACTCCCATCTCCCAGCTGTAGCATTTGCATTAGGGTCTGAAGGCCCTCCTTCCCTTTTCCTCCTTCTTCCTCCTTTATCCAAGCATTTCTCCTGGGGGCGGCGGGGGGGGGGGAACACCTTGGCATCTGGTTCTCAGAGGACCCAAAACAACAACAAGAGGGATCAATGAAAAAATATTGGAAGAGAGTTCATACTTAATAAAACTACAGATACACTTGCATAAGAGGTTTGTGTACAAAGATGTGCTGGATTCATGCTTCGAAAACTATGTGAATCACCTGGGAGTCATGTTGAAATGCTGATTCTGGTTCAGTAGGTCTGGGGTGGATGCAAGATGCTATATTTCTAAGAAGCTCTCAGGTGGTACCAAGGCTGCTGGTCCAAGAACCCCATTTTGAGCAGCAAGGTGCTGGAATGTTTATATGCACCACTGAGTCTCCTCCCTGCTCTGAACCCTGGGAGGATGACTGGGGGGTGGGGGGTGGGGAACCACAGCAGCAGGCTCAAACCTCGGCTAACAGTTGGGTTTGGCCAAGGAGGAGCACTAGAGAGCAGGAGGAGGGGGAGGTCAGAGGATTTTATTCCTCTGCGGATTTTTCCCTACTAGGTTACCATAGGTTGGCTGTGTCCCTCTACCAAAGGTCCTAACTCCTATCAGCCAGAAGTCTCCATTTTCTCTCTTGCAGAATTCCAGTAACTGCTCCTCTCCCTTCCCCCTTCAGGCCTGGGGTGGCAATGGCTCCCCACTGTTAGCAGCTTTGGAGTACTGCACCAGCTCTGGTGGCTCTTAGTAAACTCTGCCTACAGTTCTGTAATTAGTCCTTTAGTAAATGTTCCTCATTTCTTCAGCCAAGTGTACCGTCGTCTCCTGCTGGGACCCTGACTGCTGTAAGCACTGTCAGCGCAAGATTTTTTTTTATAATAGAACATTGGAAACAAGCTAATTGTGCATCATTAAAAAATGATTAAATAAATTAGGGTACGTCTGCTTAATGGTGTTACATGCACTAAAAAGGATACAGTAGATCTATATTCACCTACGTGGAAAGATGCCCAAGCCATTTGTTAAATTTTTTAAAAAGTAAGATTCTGAATAGCCTGCATAGTATGACTTCATTCATTCAAAAAGTAAAATATGCATTTCTGAAGGCTGGGATTGCAGGGGATGACAACCCTGCTCACAACAAACCTACCAAAAAGAATGGGGGAGGAGGGGGGAGCTGCGAGGATTTTCCGACTCTATCTCTTTCCATCACTTGTCTCTGCTTCACTCCCAGGCAGACTGTCTTCAAGTGGTGGCAGGGCAAGCACAGTGTGGCTTACAACATCCGGACATCCTGACAGCTGACAACCTGAGCACAGAGGCCCTTGTTCCCAATTGCTTTAGCAAAAACTCCTGGGCTGAAGCAATCAGGATGGGCTTGGACATAAGCTAACCACTGAGCCATACAGACTGAGAGTGGGGAGGGAGGCTCCCTAAAAGAAAGGAGGCTTTTCTTCCCAGAGTCAGAGAAGCAGGGCAGGTATAAGCAGCAGATATTCGCTCTCGGGGGAATATTTGTAGTAGACATTTGTTACCCTTTCTGGCTGCCCAGTATCTGAACCCCCTCCCTATTCTGGAGAGTCTCCTACTTTCTAGGGCACCTATCCTGGAGTCTGCCTTCTGCTATATATGCTGAGAAGGCCAGAAATGCACTTTCTCCCTTTTTTGCCAGGCAGAACACATGACCCAGGCTGAGCCATTTACATGCGCTCATCTCAGGCTCTCACTCTGGAGCTGGTAATTCCAAAAAGGGCCTGTGCAGACTCCATCTGAGTATAGGGTGCAGCCATGGCGTGATGTGGTGCATCGTTCTTGGTTGTGGGCCTTCCAAGATTGGTTCTCTGGCCCTCATGGGATCTGTGAACTACAAAAAGAACCTTGTATTAAATCCCCTTTCTACTGAAATTATCCAGAGGGTTTGTTTCTATAGCTCGCAATCAAGAAAGTTGATCAATGCCTATATGTACGTATGCATGTTTGTATACGTGTGAAACATCCTTGGAAAGATGAAACAAATGTGAATATTGGTTACCTATGGGGAGTAGGACCAGGAAAGTGGGAGAAGAGGGAAAGGGGCTTTTACTTTTGCCTTATGTCCTTCTATACTGTTGGAATTTATTTTTTACCACACATATAACTTTTATAATGAAACAGCTAGTTAGTAAAAAGATAGCCAATAAATAGAATTTAAAAAGGATGCAATTATTCAGGATTTTCACAGAAACAAATGCCTTCATTAGACCTTCAAAAGGAAATCATCCTCACTTTTGTTGTGATTGAGGCCAAATCTGGAAGTGAGTGAGAGAGTGTACCACTTCAGACACTGGGCCTACGTGTTTAGCTCTAGCCCTGTAACTCGCCTGCTCACTTTCCATGGCTCCCCATTACTCACAGAATAAGTCCCACAGTCTTCATCCTGGCATTCATTGGCCCTCGGCAATCGGAGCCCTCTGTACTTTCAAGACTTCTCATCTTTACACTTTGCTTAGAAGACTTTTTCTTCCAGCCCTGCTGGCCCAGATCCTAAGGGTATTACGATCTTCTCTGATCTGCCAATGCCATGACCCTTATTCCTTCTTCAGGACCTCATCAAGTGCTGATCTGTGTTATAATTCTATGTATACGCGACTTAGCCATTTACGCATCATGTACTGAGCACCTACTATATCTGGCCTTCTGCTAGGTTTTCCGACCACAGCGCAGAGTCTATGGAAGCCAGTTACCCCATATCAGAATGTTAATGTTATCACGAGGAGCAGGCCGTTGTAAGCAGTTTGCAAACACGTTAGAAGCTTTTTTCCCCCTCTGCCTGGATGGCACTCTCCCCAAATGTCAGCATGGTTCCATTATTTCAATTTCTTCAGGTCTCTGTGTGAGTATCACATTCTCAGTGACACCTTCTCTACCCATCCTATTATAAAATAACATCCCATCCTTTATCCTATTTACTTGGATTCAGGTTATGCTCTAGTTATTGTTTCAATAGCACTCATCACTAACACACGTACAAGTTACTTACTTGTTTGTGTATTTACAGCTTGTCTTTCCCCACTGTTAGCTCCAGGAAGGCAGGGATTTTATCTTGTTCCTGCAGCTTCTCCAGCACCTAGAACAGTGCAGAGCTGGCACTCCATAAATATTTGTTGAGACCAGAACACAGGAGACCGGGGTCCCAGTCACAGCGCTCCCGCAGGATAGTCGCGTGACTTAATCTCCCTTAGGCTTCAGGTGTCTCCTCTGTAAACTGGGGGTGGTCACCTGAGCCCTCCCTGGTGACTGACAGGATGCTGCGAGGATCAAACACGGGTCTCAAACTTCAGTATGCACCAGAATCACCCGGAGGCCTTGTTAAAATACACCTGGCTGGGCCCCACCTGCCGAATTTCTGATCCCGTAGGTCTGGGGTGGGGTCAGGAAATTTGCATTTGTAACACTGTCCCAAATGGTGCGGATTCAAGAATCACTGATGAAAAGAGAGGAGGTACAGGAGGTGCTTGTAGCTTTAATTCCCAGGTAAGGACCGGCTCTGAAGGCCCCGCAGGACGTCCCGGGGGCGGGGTACAGAGTGGACCCATCCGAGCCAACAACTATTTGGGAAGCTGCGGTTAAGCGCCCTGCGCCGGCTGGGTTAGGGAACAGCGGCGCTCCACAGGCCGGGCCCGACCGGCGGGGGACCCAGAGCCGGTGGTTCCGAGCTCGCAGCGTGAGTGGGCTGGAGCAGCCGTTCCGACCTCCGCGCGGGGCAGGAAGTCCCCGGAGCCTCCGGGGGGGGCCGCCACCGGCCGCCGCACAGGCAGAGGCGAGCCCGCTCGCCCGGGCGCTCCGAGCTTCCCGGAACTCGCAGTCCCTCCCGGCGCGGCGAGGA